ATTCCGTTGAATTTTCGACAACGGCGGCGCGCGTCGCGAGAGAGTTTCCTCCACGACGGCAGACACGCGATATCGCTCTCCGCGCGCTTCGCGAGAAAGCGCCGCGGCGCTGATGCGCTTTCATCATCGGGCGGCGGGAATACCTCGGGCAGGTGAAATGAAATCGAAGAAGAAGCGCGAAGCGGCGGAAGAAAAAGCGCGAGTAAGAGAAGAAAAAGGAAGAAAACTCAACAGGGAGGGGGGGAAGGGAGGGGGGAGGGGAGAGGAGGAAACGTAACGGATCGGTACTTTCGCTCGCTGTTCGTGGGCGATGGTCCCAGCGGTGATGGTCGTGGAGTATTCTTTCGCTCGCGAAATCGACCCTGGCTATCGCTCTCTTTTCCGATCTTTGAAAACGCCGCCGCCGCCGCCGCCGCCGACGACGACCTACATTTCCGCGGGAATCGTCTCGGAGAAAAGCTTCTTTCCGCCGTGGAAGAACGAGCCGCGAAATTGGTCGGATGAGAGCGCGCGAGACTCGATGGTTTCTAACGAGCAAATATAAATTATTAGATCGAAAAGTCGACTGTGAAAAATGTCCCTCTCTCTCTCTCTTTCTCTCTGTCTCTCGGATTTGAAACGTTCTCCACGTAATAAGAGGATGGGGTGGTTATTGTCGCGCGCGCGCGCGCGCGATACCATTGACGTGTCGAGCACGGGAAAGAATTAAATCAACGTCACTCGTTATGCGATATATATATATCTATCGTTGTTGATGCTGCAATAGGTCATATGTCAAGGGGATGTTTCGTTTCGTTTGGAGTAAACACCGCAGCGCGTCGATGTGTTTTTAATCGACAACATGGGGATGTATAATTATGTTAGGTTACGTGTGGAAATGTAGTTACGTCTGGATTTCCAAAAAATTATGATACGTGTGCGCACACACACACACACACACACACATTGTTACACATATATATTACACGCATATATTAAATTATGTAATTAATAATAATGCTCTGCTGATAACGGTAATAATTATTGACATTATATTATATGACATTCATATTCCACTGTTGTTATTTGCATCTAATTAACGTTGTATAATACTAATTTCCTTGGATTACCGGTGTACACGCAGCTCTGGTGAAAATTTTAATTAAGGCGTCATCGCATGTAACGCCGGTTAACACCGATGAAGTGCGAAAGAACCTGCTAGGGAGGAAACTCGGTCGTTGCGTGTTAAGAGAACGAGAAAGAGAAGGGCGAGAGAGAGAGAGAGAGAGAGAGAGAGAGAGAGAGAGAGAGCGGGACGGAAAATTGTACACGATCTCTCGTAAGAAGACGCTGCTGCACACTGCACGCCGGGGAACGATAACGGCGGTCGGGGCCGTTCCCAGATGCATGCCAGAAACCGAATGTAAACGGCTGCTGCGCACAACTTAATTAATTAAGCTGCCGCTCTTTACGTTATTGCGCCGCAGCCGATACATTATCGTATCGGTTCGCTCTCTCTCTTTCTCTTTCTCTTTCTTTCTCTCTCTTTCTCTCTCTCTCTCTCTGTGTCTCTTCGTCGAGAATTTTCGTTTTGCACGCGAATATATTCGATGTACTATTTTTTTTAATACAGATCTTGTAGCATCGAAACTTTTCAAAATACTTATCGATCTTTGTTCCAAACGCGTCTTATCAACTATTAATTTTTTAATCGTCGCAGTCACGAGAAGAATGTCGTGCGTGTCTCTAATTACTTCGCCCTACTTTGTCTCAAAAGCCCGACGCAAGAAATGCTTTGATCCTTAATTATTGCAAAGTTTTTCAAGCTTCAACGCGAATGACAACATCGCTGTACATAGTATAATGCATATTGCATTATACTATTGTATGCACGGGAGTTTCTCAGGAAAACTCTCCGGGGGCGCGGTAGACAATTTCGAAACTTTGGCTATTATGTGCTTTTTTTTTTTTTTTTTTATTCACAACGAGCGGGCGTGCAACGCCCTCCTCCTCCTCCCTCTTCCCTCTCTCGTCGTAAATATTACCTCATCGCTCTTCGAAGATGATATTTATCATGGCGACCGTTTAATCCACCGTTCTCCGAAGTAATCGCGAAATTGCTCGTCGCTGCTCAAAACTGCGACGCACTTTTTTTTTCAGCGCCGCGCTTGCGCGTTCCGCTTTAATTTCAGACTACAAGCTGCGACGGTCGAAAATCGCCAACGCGTTTTCGGCGTTTCACTTCCGCATTCTTGTCGCGGCAAATATTTTCGGATACGCCACACACATCGCATCTCGACATCGATCACACATCCTCGGTTCCAGATCGAAAACAATTTTTTTTTCTTTTTTTTTTTTGTTTTTTTTTTTAGTCATTCGAACGCGCGCGATGTGATGAAGCATCGTTAACTGTCGATATTTGGCCCAAGTGCCATATAGCATTTTCATCTGTCCCGACCTACGTGATACATGTGTACTAATACGCGTATATCTTTTTTTTTTTTTTTTAGCGAGACGATGATGTTCGACGACGCGTCAAAGTTTCCGGCGGGAGAGGTGAAAGAATTTCACTACGAACATTTCCCTCTTCTTTGCAAGATACAAAAGTTGTTTTTTTCTCATCCGTGCGAATATCCTTTTTTGTTTTTGACGTCTCGACGTTTGAAGACGTTTTTTTTTTCCTCTTTATTTCGTTGCTCACAAACTCCTAATTCTCCGCAAGAGATGAGTTTTATTCCGCGCGCGTTTTCAAAATCACGCGCTGCGCATCACGGGCTGTTTAACGTCTCATCTTTTCTGGCATATATATGTTTTTACACACACACACGATATACGGATATATATCCGGCGAGGTTGGTCCACGGTTGGCGGATCATAGCGTGTATCGCGTGATTCGCCCGGAAAACTGACATCGATCAATCATATCGCAGACGAGTGTCGGTTTCCACGAAACCTCCCCTGACGTTCGTCACGTTTTATTACAATGCTTTATACGCCAGAATGTACACACGGCTACGGGGATATTTTTTCGTAGAAGGAGGGAAAGAAAAAAAAAAGCGACTCGACCGAGCCCGCAAATCACCGTTTGCGACGAATAATGAAATTTTGACGCCGCGGATCGGTACTTTCTAGCAGAAAAAGAGAAAAAAAAAAATAGTATCGCGCGACACGCGTTCTAAAAGCTCAGCTGTAGTAATTTCTTTTGTCAGCTCGTGCGCGCGATTTGTCTGTTTGTTTTTTTTATCGTCTCTGAAATAACATGGTTGCAACTTGATATTTTGCTTTGACCTGATTTTTTTAGACGGCGACTTTGTCGCTCGCCGTCGCGACGCCTTATTACTGTTAGAATGCGATGTTGCACCGCCGTATTTAAACTCCGCCGTACGTATTTCTTCTTCGTCTCCGTAATCTGCGAAAATAGATTTAAACGTCACCCCGTATTATTTTTCTTACAATCGTATTTCGAACGGTTTTAATGAGCGCAAGATGCGCGCGCGCGCAAATAAAATCGTCCAACTGGAATTTTACGGTTGTATACTTTTGTATTTATGATAACGGACGGACTAAACTCCGAGAAGATACGGTTCGTAAAAGCCGGCAAAAATAACTGCGTTTCAAGCTCAGTCATGAATAACTACATATCGGATACCCCGAAAGCGCCCCGCTTGACTCGCGATTTATCTCTCTTCGAGATAAATCGGATCGACGTATCTCCATCTGTGACGGATCTGAATGAAAAAAGAACTTGTCGTTTTACTCTGTGTGTGTTTTTCGCACAGAGACGCCGCGCATTAAACGTCACCAAAGTCAGTTTCTTCTCGCGCGTATTTTTTTCGCGCCCCCCCCCCCCCCGCTCTTTCTCTTCTTGCCGCGCGTCTTCTCGGCGCGCGCGCGCACAAGCGATGTGACACAAGCCCGCAATTAAATTGAAACCGAGCAAAAAATTCGTCCGTAATGCCGCCCGCGAAATCCTCTCCGGCTGCGCGATCGCGGAAACTAGTTTCGCGAGAGAGGCGGGCGGCTATCGAGAAGTAATATAAACTTTATATCCCTCTTCACCGGGGCGGAGAACTCGTAAGACAAATATATGTCGAGACCGTCGTTTCCGGTTCGCGCGACGGCTTACGACGGTGCTTCCACGGCGCTACAATGTAAACATATATCGCCGAGGCGTATACAGATATGAACTTATATATATATACGCGGCGTGTGTCTACGCGGCACGCTGTAGATATATATATACATGTATATATATACGTATGTACACACACACACACACACACACACACACACATACATATATGTATACATGCAGACGTAACTCCGCCGAGTTTTCAGATTCCGCCGTAAAGGTGGGCGAGCGCGTCGTAAAAGAATTGCGTTAAACTTAACGCTCGGCCGTTAAGGAACATCCTGATAAAATAAAATCTTAATCCCGCGCCATCCACGGAGTGGAGATTTAGGATCGTCTCCACCCTTGTCTTCCACCCTTGCCATCGCGTCGAGACGGGGGGGAGGAGGGGGCTCGGTCCCCCCGTCTTCTCGGGAAAGATCAGCCTTAACGCTCCAACGGACCCGACTATTAAGCGTATATCTCGTGTCGCTTAATCCTTTCGGACCGAAATTTTTATTTGTCCGCGGGAGACTTTATTTTTTACAGCCTAAAAAAAAGGAGGAACCCCAAAAGGGGAAACTAAACGGTGTTATTCGCAATAAGATATTTTCCCCCTCCGGGGGAAAGCGAGCTATTTTCCTCTTATATATATATATACCACACGCAGCCTCGGGGCTGATATCCTCGAGGCTCTCCCTGTTTAAAATTAAGAACATTTAACTTTGTCGGTAGGTCATGTAGAATTTAAGTTTTTAAACGACTTTTTTCGACTTTGAACATTTTAACTTTTTCGAAAAAAAAAAAAAAACTCAAGTTCGACGAGATTGAGATCGTCCTCAAATTGCCCCCCTTCCGTTGTTGTTTCGGCGCTTAACGCGCGTTTCCGCTTTCTTTTTTTTTTTTTCAGCAAGAACGGATACGTGTGCATCATGTTCCACAAGAGGGACGAGCACGTAATAGAGATGCAGCTGTCGGAATGGGGCCAGCAGCCCGACGATATATGCAACTCGAGCACGTTCAACTCGCACACGATGCCGTACACGACGTTCATCAGTAAGTAAATTCTGATCTCCTAATCGAATTACGCATTGTCGTCGCACTCGCGCGGCAAAATAACTAATTGAGCTTTAATGCCGGGTGTCAACTTTACGGACCGGCGAACGGTAATATACGCAAATTTGATTACGCTTAACAGTAGTGCTCTCTCAGTTGACGGATCGCGTTATATATGTTTGTTGCCGGTGTAGTTTTGAATTAACGCAGTTTAAACGCGCGGCTATATCCTCTCCCCCCCCCCTCCTCTCTTCTCTTTCTTCCCGCCGTCCCGTCTCGCTCGTCGCCGTTAATGCATCCCCTTGGCATTTTTGCCTTTGTCGGTATTAAGCGAGCGATACTTAATCGAGTAAATTAATTTGCCGATATTCCGATGAAACGGCTCTCGCAAATGAACTTGCAGTTTCTTTTGGAACTTATCAAAGAACGTTCTCTCTCTCTCTCTCTCATTTTCATTTTTTCTCTTTACGTAGGAGCGAGTTGCATTACCGATCAATTAATATCCGCGGCTTCTTAATTTGCTGTTCGCTCGCTTCGACGCGAGAGCGGGGGAAAAGCTTTAGCGCAATAAGATGCGCTCGAATATTCTCCCCGAAGTGTAAAATTGCCTCACGAATTCACGAGGGAGTCATTAACGTGAGAAATGTCGACGCAACGCGATCGTGAAATAGTGCGGCCATTTTCTTTTTTTTTCTTTTTTTTTTCGTTTTGCCCTCCCCGAGCCGGAAGATTTAAGTAGATTGGACGCTCTGGAAATTTGGTCGCGCCGCGGCCGGAAACCGGAATCAGAAACGGAACGGTTTTGCTCGATGATTTCCGGGCGCGTCGCATCGCGCCTACGCCCGTGCGCGCGCTTCTTCTTTGCCAATTCGGGTTCCTCCCCCTTCGGTTTTTCTTTCGATTCATTGCCCGCGTCCTCCCCTCTCTCCCTGATTCGCGCATCACCCCCCAATCTTATCGAATTATCACCGACAGGAGATAAGCAAGCGGCCGGAGTGATATCCGCGCGCGAAACCGTCCGATGGGATCGGAAACGATATACTGGATCGGTTTATTATACACTTGCGAGTAATTTTTTTTGGTTTGGTTTTTTTTTTCTTCAAATCGTCGCGCGTAAAGCGTATCAATTTTTTTATCGACGTATTTATAACTCCCGCGCACTCCCGCTGATATCTGGAAAATTGCACCGTTAACGAAAATATATTACATTGTATGTGTGCGCGGAAGTCACATATATCGTCGTTTCTCGCGAGCTCTGCTGACTCCGCCGAGCGCCCAATATAGGATACTCCACTCGGGGAGTTCCGAATAAAACGTGATTCGCGGTCTAACGAAAGAGCGCCTTGTTTAGCTTCTAAAGCCAATTCCAGACATCGATCGTGAGTCCCGGCGACGTCGGGATGAACTGCGCTCTCTTTCTCTCACTCTCAATCTCTCTGTCTCTCTCTCTCTCTCTCTCTCTCTCTCTCTTTTTCTCTTTCTATCTCGACAGACGATTCACTCAAATGCACACACTCGAGCTCGTGATTTGTCTCGGCCTTATATAGTCTTCCCGGTATCCTGACACACCGGTCCATGTATGTTTGCCGGGCAGACGTGTGTATACGTGTATACAAAAGCCTTTCCGCATCCCCGACGCTTCACCTGCAGATCCCCCGATCAATCCGTAGTCGATTGTTTTCCTTCGCGAAAGTTTGATTAAAGTTTCCAGCAACCTTTTACCGTTCGACGTTGAATATCTTTGTACCTAATTCTCAATTAAAATTCTTTTAAAGCGGACAAAGTCCACTTAAGATTGAACGAGGAACACGAAGTTTTACTCACTCTCTTTCTCTCTCTCTCTCTCTCTCTCTCTCTTTCTCTAAATATGTTTTGTTAATAAAGTAGCTATTTTTTCAGTAGTGCGTACGGCTCGATAATCGACTTCGCGACGTTATTCGAGATAAATCTAGTTATGTCAAGTTTGTGCGTGTGTGTGTGTGTGTGTGAGTATTTGAGCGAAGGATACATAGAGAGAGAGACAGAGATCCGTATTACATACTCTCGCGCGGTGTGGAAGTACCTTCTACTTCTGTCTACGCGCGGGAAACGCGCGTAAAGGAGTCGCGGCGAGAAGTTTGCAAATGGCGGAGTTTAACAATCAATCCGCGAGGCACGGCTTTACGAGCGCATAAAGGATCATATGCCGGATCCGTCGTAAAGTCTCTTACCGCGTCGGCTCGCTTTTCAGTTTCTCCTTAGCCGATTCCGGTAACGTTGACGAAGAGCCCGGAATCGTTCCGCCGGTGTTGGAATTTATCGCGCCGCCATTCGCCACTCGTCTCTTTCCTTTGTGTGTCGCACTTTCAGAATGTCTGCGCGCGCGCGCGTGTGTGTGTGTGTGTGTGTGAACACACCCGCGTGTTACCCGCATTAACACTCGGGAAACCCGCTCGGCTGAAAATTACGTCGTTGTGAGGCAGCGCTTCCCAAGCTTTTTAGCAGAACCGAGATATTAACGTTACTCTCGGTCAATGTCTTGTTTACCTACATGTATACTTTTTTTTCGTTTATACGAAAGAAAACCAAGATGAGCTCTTACGCAAAATTCCCAAAATTCATCTACGTAGTAAAAAAAAATGTCAATTTTCAGTGGACCTTCTGAACTAGTAACGTTAAGTAATTGATAAAATATTTTATTGATACAATATTTTATATTTATTATCTTGATTTTAAGTATGATGTAAAAAAATAACATAGAATAATTAAAACTACATGGAAAAATAATTATATTAACTTGTAAGAAATGTACTTAAAAAAAAACATTTTTTGTGTTAAATTAACACACGATATTAATTGTTTTAACTTCAATTATGGTAAATTTGATTGTTTTGTGTGTCAAAGGTCGTGACTATTTTAAGCTTTACTTTATCTAATATCCGAAAATGGGGTTTCGAGTTTAAAATCGCGTTGGTGTCTGATACTATCAGGTTGCTCTTAAAATCTTGATGAACTGAAATGTTCACGAAACGTCTCTCGATGTAAAAACACAATACTAACGCGATTCAAACCCGAAAACCATTTTTGGATATTAATAAAACACACCGCGAAAGCATCAGATATCATATTTACTTTATCTTTTCGTAGACTGTCGAATTGAGTTTGAGACATGTAGATTAATTGAAATAATTGTGTTAAAAGCGCTCGAAATAATTTCAGAGTTTTAAGTAACGTAATACAAAATGTTAAAGCTATGAAGTTGACACAAATCTAAAACATAAAAACGTAACAAAAGTAATAACACAAAGAAATTGTGTTATCCTATTTTAACGTGTAAACAATTTGTGTTATTTTGTGTGCAAATACAAAAATAAGACAAGACCTTTCTTTCAACTTACCGCGCGAAATACCGTTTGAACATTTTTTTTTCTCACTCGAGTCGTCATCACTTCGCGGTATAGAAATTTGCGTTGCGCGTTTTTATATTGTTATTTAAGCTAAAAAAAAAAAAAAAACTTATCGCCAGTTGAGAAACACTGGTGTGAGGTAAGCAGCAGTTTGTCCTCGAGGCTTTTAGTCTCTTCGTCGGCGTGGTAGCAAATATAAAACCGCGATAAAGAGGCAAATATGAAAGCACGATTCTTTCACGTCGAACTTGGTGAATAGATCGCCTCGAGAGACTTGCCGTTTTGACGTCGGGCACAATGAACAACGCTCACTCCCTCGCTCACCTCCGCACGGATCGCGGATCGTGTTGCGCTAATTTCCTACAGGAACAAAGTACAGAAACGCGTTTACTTTAGCGTGCAGAACACGTCGACTGCGTGTCGATCGCGTATCAAATTGCTCGGCTAAAAGTTACACTGCAATGTAAGCAGGATCTCTCTCTTCTGGGGCGCTTACCGCGGACGGATCGTATAAAGAAAAAAAGTTAATGGCTGTTGTTTGCGCGTAGAAAAAAATTTACAGACAGTTTTTTTTTATATCCTCGCGGGTCTGTTTTTTTTTGGGGGGGTTTGTTTTTAATAATTGATCCGGTCCGCAAACATTTCTTCTAAAAAGTGAGTTTTAATTCTTTCTCGCTAAGGAAACTTTTTCCTCGCTATTTGATCGCCACTCGAAGTGATTCAATTAAGCCTAACATTAGGCGCAAATAGATTTAAGTGTTTTCAGTATGTATACACTAAAACTAAAATTAATTTTGACGTTACTTTTAGCTTCCGACCCGATGACCCGACAGTGCCCCAATCTCGGTCGCTACGAGATTGTATCGTTGGTTCGATCGACGAATGCCGACAGCGTCGAAAACGTATTGGCCGTCGACGGCGAGCAGCACGTTGCTAACGCGGCCGAGATGCACGACGTGAGAGTGCCATCCACGCCATTCCCAAGCCAGTGCCACCACGGAAGCGTACGTAGATTGGATATCGGTTGCAGGACACCCGATCGCATGGAGTTCGCCACGTCTTGCAGCGACGAGGCGTTATCCGGTAAGGACTTACCGTGTCGCGTCTGCTATTTTGTTTCAAAAACGCCGTTCTTCGCGCGCGAACATTTTTATTTTGAAATAGAATTTTTTTTACTTTACACTTTTAGCAATTTAATAGTTTCGCGCGTCAGATTTAAAAAGAGGACTAGCGAGTTTTATGATATTTATGCGCCTTCTCTTTAGTTTTTTTTTTTTTTTTTTAAATATCCATCGATTTTATCGGGACAGTTCCAATTGGTTTTTTAATCTCGCGTCTCCATTTTTTAGAAAAACTTTTTGTACGTGTAGGATCTTTGTTTATTTAATTGTTTGAATAAAAGAAGTTCGCTCTTTTATTAAAATATAATATAAGTCCAATTGTTTAAATATAGAAAAAAACTTCTACACTTCTAATATTTCAGCGATACGAAAGTCTGTATTAGAGCGCGTATAAATCTTTTCCGAACGTCTTCTCGACGGACTTTCCGTTCGCTTTCCTAAGTATTGCATCTTTTATCGTTACTTGGTTTTGCCACTCGCCTTCGACCCCTCGATAGGGCAATCGATACTCTGAGTAGGGGAGGACGGAAAATATTTGTTTCTAAAAACGGTCGTGACGTTGCAATCTCACGTCGCGAGAATTTTCAACCGTTCGAAAATATGATAGGTAAAATGTGTACAGGTACAATATAATTTCAGTTCTCGGACGACACTCGTCGCCGATCAATTATTTCGCTCGGTTCTTCTCCGGAGAAGAAGCGCCGAAAACGTTTCGGTTCTGTTTTTAAAAAATAAACACTGAACACGTTCAATAATAAGGCACGCGTAGAGACAACTTTTGTCCTGTCCTACGTGTTTTTTTTTAATTTTATTTTAATTTTTTTCAGTTTGCTTATCAAAAACTAGAGCGTCCCGAAATCGACGACGAAATAATCTCTCATCAGCTTATTTTAGCTGCGCACACAGATCCTTGGATACGATATTTATAGATGGGCCAAAAAACTTTTGTCTTGTAATTTGGAACAACTCTCCTTTTGTCTTCGAAAACACCGGTTTTAAAAAGTAGCTCGAGGCCAATCTCTCGTGATGGAATCAGTCTATTATCTTCTCATTTAGCTTGATATAACACGCACGCTGCATTTGATTTGCTTTCTCTACCCTCCCCCCCCCCATTCTTTATTTTTGCATTTTATTATACGCCGCGAAGAGATTCCTTCCGATTTCTCTCTCATGATTTCGCTTTAACCGACCGAGGAGGAAAATTTAAGCGCCGCGAGACGTCTGATATAAGCGAAGATCCCTTCACGTATCCACGCGCGAACGACGAGTTTCGAAAGCGTCCGGAAACTTCGACGAATTCTCTCGACGTGTGACGGGGATCGGCGACAGTTAACACGTGTCATCACCGTGTCGTCATCTTTGAATCTTGCCGCATTAACTTCCCTTATCTCTCAGCTCGTCGAACCGTGTAATACGATATATACTAAAAAAAAGAAAAAAAACGCTTCCGTAAAATAACGTAAAAACACGTCGTTTTAACGCGACTACGTGACGACGATTCGTCAAAAAAGATTTTAACGACACGGTTATCGCTCGCGTTGGCGTATTCGAGGAACCGCTTCGTGCGGTTCGGCAGAATGTTCGAACGTCCCCGACTGTTCGCTCTAGAAGAGAGAAGAGAAGACCCGACGCGGGGGTTTGAAGCACGTCCGCCAAGGAACATCTTATCGGATTACCCGCACCCTCCTTCTTCGTCCTGTCTCCAATTCGCTCGCGCAAAGTTATCACAAGTGGTGATAGTTAGTTTGCGGGAAAGGCAACGGACGTCACGGGTCGCCGGCATACAGCGCGCTTGCTTCTTACGCTCGCCCGCGCGCTAACTTCCCGCGCACTTCGTTTGACTCCATACATAAAAATTGACACGTCGCCCTCGCCCCTCGCGTTCTTTTCGTCGCGCGTTTTCTCCAACGTGAATGCGGTTGCCTGATTCGCTCACCGGCGGTCACCGGAATCGGTCCGCCAACTTTTGCGAGAATCACCAACCACCTTCCATCGCGGCGCGCGCGCGCGTTAACACGGAAAATACTCTCTTCGATTAATAATAATAATGATAAAAAAAACTACATTATCGCGTTTAATTTATCAACTCGTTGACGAGATATGGCTTTTTCGCGCAAAACGATCAATCAAAATATGGATTACCCAGTACTTTCGTGTTTCCAAGTCTACATCGACGTTGGTAAAAGCCCGCGTGTTTAACTCGACAACAACAACGATGATAACAACAAAGTAATTTAGAGCGATTTCCGGATTAACTGGATTTCCGGAAAGATAGAACGCGGATTATGTGTCCCTTGTGAAGGGAGAGCAAACGATACGTATTACACCGGGACTCGTTGCGCACGCTATGCCGATGCTCTGTAATCCGCGAACGCGCCGTTGACGTTACACAGGAATCCGGGGAGCCTGGAATTATTTTAGCGGCGCGAGAGAGTTACCCCGAGAAGAGAGGGAGGGGACATGTTGACACAACTGGAGGATTTAGGCACTTGAGCTCTCTCGGCGCTTCGCGGCTGTCGAATTGTATTGCGAAACATAGATACCGGCGATGAGGAATGATGACACAATACTGCGGCGATGAAGGAGGCGCAAAATGGCTATTCAGACTTGTCGCGTGTAAATACTCTCGCTCGCGGCTTTGTGAATGAGGTTTGTGTCGCGCGCGATTGTGTGTGTTAATCGCGTGACATCGGATTAATTTTTCGGGCCGCGCGCGAAGACGGATTTTTCAGGCCACGCAAGTTGGCCTCTAACTCGCGAGTTATCGTCGCTAATTTTGTGCGCCAGTTTCTCGGAGAGATCTCGATAAAATTAAAGTTAAGGTAAAAATATACGAAGTTATACGGACCACCCTCCGATCTCAACAATTTTGACATATGTTGTCAAGGTTACTTCCCTGAGTAATAACATGAGGATTTTAGCCGTCGCTCGTTGTTTGTTAAAAAGTTATAAACAAAAGAAGTTTTATAAATGAACTCTTATTTTCCGACACCATGTACATTTTGTTTGTGTTGTAAGAGTGTAGGCAGGGAACTTCGCCCCCCCCTCCCCCGCAGAGGAAGAGCTTTGCACAAAATAAATATAAACACTAAAAAATAAATTTAAACACTATAAATATAAACACTATAAACTTTCAATTTATAATAATGTTGTGATAAAAACTTAATTCAGAAAACGAATAAAAAATTTTTTTTGCGCCAGCAACACCTCCGATATAAGGTTTTTTGATCAACTGTTTTGAAACTTGGCACTAAATAACTAGAAACTATATATACTTTAAATGTATGTTAGAAAATTAAGTCAGAAAACAGATTTTTTTCGCATCGGCAACACCTCCGATATAACTTTTTTCAGTAAACTCGTTTGAAACTTTGCACAAAATAAGTACAAACTATAGTGCTTTAACTTTATGTGTATATAATATGTCATCATAGTCGTAGTCACGTGATCAAGGTCATTGACCTCACCGCAGTCACGTGACCAAAGTCATTGACCTCACCACAGTCACGTGGCCGAGGTCATTATTTTGACTGTTAGTGTGATGTAAAATTAACATATAAAATAATAAAAAAAGATACATGAAAGTAGTTATAGTAACTCGTAACAAATGTAGTTCAAAAAGAACATACTTTTGTGTTAAATTAACACATGATAATTATTTTAACTTTAATTTTAAGAAATTTGATTATTTTGCGTGTCAAATTTCAAGATTATTTTAATATTTTGACTTTTCTTAGAATGTTAAATCGTTACCCCGGGACATGTAGATTGAAGTAACTGTGTTAGAAGCACTCGAAATAATATTTTATTTTTAAGCGACAAAATGTTACGTTATATTGAAGTTGACATAAATCTAACACACATGGAAATACATTACAAAAATAATAACATATCAGTTGTATGTGAATTTTATACATTGAAGTAATGAAACGGAGTTAACGCAAAAATATGTGTCGCCCGATTTTAACACCGTGTGCTACAATTTTACACAAAAAAAGAAAAAAAATTTCTTTTACCTTCTCGCGGATTAATGTTATTAGTCGCGATTCTAATGTTCGTCGAACCGTTTCATCCAGTAGGAATCCGCGATGATGGATCGGTAAGCACAATCGACTTTTTTTTCTCCCCCGGGACGTCGTGTCGTACACGCGTCCGACGAACAATGGGTAGAAAATTCTACATTTATTCTGATATATCAACGTCCGCTTACCGCGCTTAGTTTTTACCGTTGATGGGTGCCATCGCCGATCGTTGAACACGATGCGCGGTCTCGCGTTTCCTCTTTACGCGAAGTCACGAGCTGTCGAGCGACCGCAGTAAATTCTCATCTTACTATCTTGCAAGTACGATCGGGTATCGTCGCTCGAAACGTCACGCCTGATATCGATGTGTCGGAAGGATTTACGGCTCTCGTTTATTCCTCTTCCGTTCTCGCGCGCGCGCTCGAGCATTGTTACGAGCGGAATGCGAGCGGCGAGAGCAACTGCCGTAAAAAAAAAAAGATGATATAAAAGTAGCTCCTCAAGCGGTCGAATCAAATTTCGTCCCGCTTTTTATCGGCTTAATTGAATGCTCGAGGAATTATGATTGTGGTGTCTCACGTTTTCGTGTTACACGAAAAGTTACACGAGCGGCGAATCCGCTCGCGCAGCAATTGTTCATTTTTCCGATTAGTATTTCTAAAGTGTGCGATTTTTTAAAACGATGTTAAAACATTCTTTTTTTTACTTGATTCAAAGCAAAATAAACATTGAAAAAAATGTTTGCCACAACAACAAAAAGATTTAATTTAAGAAACATTTAAGTTAAGTTTATTAAATTTGTTGTTTTGCCAATAAAACATTGCGATAGCGAATCAAACAATTCAAAGAAAGCTTAGCAAATTTTTCTTCGCCGGCCGTGTAACAGGGAAACTTTTTTTCCACCTACAAGTATTCGATTATTTCGCGATGTCTCTTTTTTCATAACAATTTGTTAGACAATAAGTTCGCATGGAACATGTGTCGATCGAGAAATAATCTCGCTCAATGTCTTGGTGTACGAGTTACTTTTTTTTTTTTTTATGACAATATCTTGGAGACGAAAAATTGTGTTTCTCGATAATTTTAAAGTCGAGAAACAAGCTCAACGGCAAAATGACTTCAAATCTCATTAGCGAGTTATGGTCGGTTTTTCTCCCGTCGAATTTGCTCCTTGTGGCTTAGCATGTTGTTGTGTCGCCAGGCTCTTCATCAAATAGTCTTAAAAACTTCTCCTATATTGTGGCGTAAACTTGCTCTCTACTTGCGTAGTCTTACTCTCTTTCCCTCTCTCACTCTGTCTATTCTCTTTTTTTTTTTTTTAATTTTTTTTAATCATAGATAAATGCGATTGACGTTTTCTCCCGCAAAATTTCTCGCGCGGGAAACAAAATATGTGAAGCCAATTTTTTTCCAATCGGTTTTCACTAATTCTCTCTCTCACACGCACACGCACACGCACACGCACACACATACACACACACACGCACACTGCACGCTTTGTTTTGCAGAGTACTTGTGCCACGGAACTTGGGTCGAAAACGATACCGCTTACTTGGTGGCCAGCACCGACGTCGGACGTTACTGCCTCGTTTACAGCGCGTCCGCCGCGACGACAGGAAGTCGTGAACTCTCGGTGACGGGTCATCTCGCTTCCTGTCCCAGGGCCTCTCATCGCCCTCATCCAGTCTCGTGGCAGGTTAACCTCACGTCGTACGGTGAGCATTGTTAATTCTGGACGCAACACGCGCCTCCACTTACACGAGTTTCTCCGGTGTTAAGAGGTAGTTTGCAATTTGCGCGGTTGTTTCGTTAGAAAATTGTTGCAATTATTATACGTAACAAGAGTAATAATGCGCTTCAATTTATCTTGTATGTCACTCCTCACGGCGAGGAAAACTCTCTGTTTTTCAATTTAAAAGGAGAGAAAATACAATGTGTGGTTTTTTTATAGGTTCTTTTGTTCTATCAAAATTCTGCGCCTTATCGAAAATACTTGATGTGCATATGTTGCAGCTCAATGTGGCGATCTCTCGTCGGCGGCTACGTGGGCGCTCAGAGTGCCGGCGTCTCTTCTCTACACCGTCTTCTTCGGCGCGTTCCTCGCCAGATACATCGTAAGGTGATGCCACTGAGCCGAGACGCGCCACGCATCAGTGGCAGTATAGTTAAAAGAACAGAGAGACTCTTAATTATACGATAATTACGTGGTGATTATATATAAACGTTTTTTCTTTGCGCGCGGAGACGGTGAGGTAAACTAAATAATCAATCGTAGGTTATAAGTGATTTTACGCAAGCGCGTGAGGATAGCGATGAGCAAAACTGGATCAGGTGATTGCGAAAATTTAAAAAAACAAAAAAACAAAAAAAAAACAAAAAAGCAGACAAGTCGGAAACGGGTAAGGTATTATACATATTACATGTACGCCGGTCCCGCGAATGTGGCAGCAAAATGCGGATGCGAGGATTATACGAATGTAAATAAAAAAAAAAAAAAAACCAAACAAATTCGATGCATCCACGAAACGTGGTCTTCCCATCGGCGCTCGTCCCGAGAAATCGATCGAAGTATAACAACATGATTTTTATGCCCGTCTGGAGAAAAATTCTCATTATCTTATCTCTTATGGCAAATAAATAAATTAAAAAAAAAAAACAACATAAAAAAATATTCGTGATATAATATAACCATTATTAAACTTTATATAATTGTAATATATATATAAAAACGTAAAAGGAAAACTTTTCATGGTGTGCGGTTTTATACGGAAATACTTTTTTCTCCATTTGGCGCGCTCCGCTTGCAAAAAAATTCACAATAGAAATTTACAATTAAATTTACAATTACAGAAATTCTTTTATAAAAAGCTCAAATACTGTGATTGCAACGTGAAAAAACATGCTGAATTCGTTCTCTCGAGATAAGCTTCGTTTATTGCATTCACGTATATATCGGAGCAACTCGTTACGTTTCTCTTGGTAAGCACGAGAGAAACACGTGTTACACGAAGCGAATTATGTAAGTGGATGTCTTCGTAAGTAGAGTCGGCGTGGATTTGCGTTACTACATGAACGGTGTACGCTTGCCTTCGAAGACGCGAGGAACCCAACGACAATTTATTGACGCAGACGTCGAGTTTCGTCAAAAAAAAAAAAAAAAAAAAAAAAAAAAAAACACTGTTGGAAATAAAACGGACGCACTCGATCTCAATTTGTGTTATTTTTTTTTTCACGAACGGTAGTTTTTACGAAAAAAATGTCAAGACTTTTACGTACATTTGTTGCGTTAATATTTAAGAAGAGAACAAGTTTTTAACCCTAATCCTGTTTTTTTTTTTTTTTTTTTTTCATGTACGTATCCTGGACATTTACGTCTGACGCGATTTTTTTATTGATCAAAGCGTTGCAAAAATTTAAGAAAAATTTATGAGGCTTTATTTAACATTCCATATTAAGAAAATAACATTGGTTTTGATATATGTTTTTAGGTTTTACGTAAATTCTTCCATTAAGTAGTTAATAAGATTTTCTCATTTTTTTTCAAGAATCGCTCGCGGACATTAATGTCCGAGGTTTATATGATTGGGGTTAAATATTAATTTGATTTTTGACGTCCCTTGTAACTAAATTCCAATTCAAAATCTTTTTTAATAAAAACAGAATATTTTTTTTTCTTGTGAGAGCTATGTTTGTTTGATGTAATACAATTTCCTTGCGCTTGTGTAAGTACTCGTTGCGTGTGTGTTGAGATGATGTAATAATAAAAAGAAAATAATAAGGGTGCTGGGGCCAATATTATATGAAATGAGTGTTGCTCATAGATTGAGAGGGTGTAAAAGCGAAAGAGAGAGAGAGAGAGAGAAAGAGAAAGAGAGAGAGAGAGAGAGAGAGGAAGTGATAGATGTATAACTACACTAACTTAGTTGAGTAGCTCCGCATCCGCTGCTACATTCGCTGTGGACGCGTTCGACGCTCCTGAATGCGACGGACAAAAAGCGTGTGTTGCGTGTGTTGCGTGCGTGTATATTTAACTTAAAAGAGATTAAGTTTAAGATCTGCCACGTCCAACTGCCATCTGTAAACTATATATGCATTTTCGTTAAAAGCTTCGTGGCAGAAATCGCTCTTTTTCTGTGTAGCAGAAAAGGAAAGAAGAGAGAAAAACCGTGTATAAAAAGATTATAAGAAAGAAACGAAACCACACCGAGAACGGACGATGTTACTGTAATTATTATTATTATTATTATTATTATTATTACTACTACTATCGCTGTTAGTATCGTAAGGGCGGAAATTAACGACGGACGAAATAAACTACTCTTGCTCCTTCTGGTGAATCTCTTGCTTTCTTTTTGTACACTTTGCGGGACAGATAGTTACCGAAGGAGCGAATTTAGCATGTAAGCTCTCTCTCTGTAAAAAAAAAAAAAAAATCGTGTTACACTGATCCGCCATTGAACTTTAATCCTCGTACGATAAACGTGAGGTCGATACCGACTGTACGCCATCGAAAGTTTCTGTGAAACGACCGGGAAGGAGACTCTAATCTCGGTCGCGCGCGATCTTGCCGCTAGTGCCGCAGTCGCAAACGCGAGACGAAGTTGTGTCAGCGAGAGGACTCGAGAGATGGTAACAATAATAAGCACAAGAAAAATATCACTACCACGTAAGGTTTCTTTCAAAAATATAAAGTCCCTAATTTAAAAAAAATTGTAATTACAAGTTTTTATATACTCGAGTCTCAAAATAGTTTTATCAAGTGGTTTCGATTGTTATCTAATCAAATTTAACGAACTTACTTGATTTTTGTCGATATTAATCGAAATATCTTGTAGATAATTAAAAAAAAAAAAAAAAAACTATAATTCATAAAAACCCGACGATGTCCCGATAATAATTGAATTCAATAATTTGATTGCAAAAATGCCACAGAAAATCATTGCAGTATAACATATCGCTATCGAGAGAAGAATCAGCGCGAGAAACTCTCACGTCGCTGCGTGCGACGTAACGATTAGAGATAGCACTTGACAAATTTCTTCGGAAATGAATATATTACTTAACTCTATATAAACATATTATTAAATTTCGTTACGGGAGCTGTGTTGTATGGAACAAAAAGAACGAGAGCGACGGCGGTGCGATCGTTCGAAACGATATCTTCTTCAGCAAAAACTAACTAATGTCGATATAAAATTGCAATATTGTATTTTTTATTCAACTTATTTTGTTTGAGAGATCTCTGATCGCGATACGGAGAACAGAAACGGTAATCGACCGCGTACTAATCGATTTATAAACATATAATGGACAGTTAGATATATACATATATATATATGCAAATAAATATATAAATATACTATATGCGCGACAATTCGATGTTGGCTATAAATTGTACACTATTAGATAAAAAATAAAAACTTACGATGATAGATATAGTCGACGATCGAAGAGGACGCTATTCGGTCAGCATCGATTTTTCCCTGTCACATTTAAATTCTGCACTAAGATAATATTGAAAAAAGGGGCAAATAATTTAATTTTTCCACTGAAAAACCAATATTACAGTTTTTTTTTTTGTAATACAAGATTGTTGTTCAAAATCTTTCGATTTCGTTTTCCTCTGTGAGATAAATAATAAGAGCCAGTGTATATATTTCTCTTACAGTTGAACATTGGAGAATCTTAATTGTACACGAATGACTTGTACAATTTGAATATTATTTTTTGTTTTTATTTTCCTTTATATTATTCTCACCGTATGCGCGAGAAGATTCGTTTTTTTTTTTGTTTTTTTTTTAGAATTTTATCAATGACTTCGGAGTGCCGGTTACTCTAACTACTCTGCGATGAAGTATAATGCCGTTATATTGTATCTCTTCGGAGACAAACCCAATCTCATGATCTCCGCGCGAGACGTACGTTTGCGCGCTTTTCGCTCTCTCTATCGGTTATTATTATATTCTATAATAAATATAGCAAGCTAGTAGTATAATCTCGTACGTGCGAATCGGCGAAATGTACGTTTTGCGAATCATCGTTGCATGGGTTGCATTCTAGGAGCGAGAACTGCGGAGAGAGATCACACCGATACACTTGTACATAAAAATAGACTTTAAGGGATTCGGATATTGTGACAAACATTATTGTCGAATTGTAAACCTCGCGTCGTGCGCGTCGACACGAAGACATATTCTCTGTAAAAAAAAAAAAAAAAAAAGAATAAGTAGAAGGAAGATGAGAGAGAGAGAGAGAGAGAAAAAAAACGAGCTCTGGAAGTGAGAATTCAATTTTATGATAGGTCGCGAGAGAGTGTAGATTTCAGGGTATTTATATATATATATATATCGAAGGTTATATATATATATAGTTATATACAAATATACAGAAATATTTAAGGAGATAAATTATATTGTGAAAAAAAAAATTATATATATATATATATATACTATGTTTTCAATTGTTGTAAATTTAACCAGGTGCAGCGCCGACGTAAAGCCGGCGTCGACGAGAGAACAAACTCTGTTCTTGTGATTACGTATAAGTCCATGTAGTTTACACACTCGCTAATTAATTTATCTCGCCTCTTTTTCATCGTGTAAAATAAAAATTTATAATCTCTCGCATCGGAAAGAGGTGAGGTCGCTCTCAGACTTCTCTTCCGAATAAGATGCGTACACACGACGTGTTTGCAAGACACCTTTTGCGACCTCCTGTTTTTATTTCGTTGGGAAAAAAAAAAAAAAGAAAGAGATACACGTACAAACACATAGGCAAACATTAGGCGAGACACGCGTTATATATATTTGAAGGAAAAAAAAAGATTGTTACGAGAAAACAATTTCTAACGCTATGTATCCGTACGTATATATATATCTACCGACGTGCGAGGGGAGAAACTGGCGGATATTATAATGCGGAATCGAATGTGTAATTCAGAATGTTTGTATAAACCAACACATTTGCGACATCATTGCGACATTTTAAAGAAAAAAAAAACAAGTTTATTACTGCCCTTCTCACAATGTAACCGAAACGCAATAATATGTCCAAGCGCGCACGTCACTGCCTGTAGAACACGACACAACGACTATTACCGTCTCTAGTCTTAGCGAGTTACTTGGTAATTTCGATAGACGTTCGTAAAAAAAAAAAAAAAAAACGACAGCGCGACACCCGCCGAGAGCGCTAATACTTAAATACTCTTAAAACACGTGCCGACAGTCAATTGCCCTGTCCTGTAGGATCAAGGGAGATGACGAATTTCTCCTTCTCCTCCCAAATGTTTCCTCTCTTCCTCGAACCCCGGGAGAAGTTCGGCTAATTTCCGCGATGCGAAAAGATCCTTCACGTTCGAAACGTGTCGGGAAGCTTCCTCTTTCCGTTTTCACGAGATTCGCACGTGTTGTATATCCCCCCTCCCCCCATTCCCTCATCGAGGCGTGCGGCTCCGTTGGGTGCGTTGAGTGAGTGTCGCACCCGATCGTTTCCCGATCGCAAGCAACGGTTGCTGCACCAAACTTTTGAGCCATCTCGCTAGATTCGCAATAAACGACGATAGATTTAAATCTCACGGCGAACGGGTTGGCCAATTTTTTTTTTTTTTTTTTTTTTTTTTGGGTTTTTGATCGCAGAATGTCATCAGCTTCATTCCGCGTATGTACACATGTATATTTAGACGTTGCGCGGAATAATAAGATAAGAAGAAGTTAACGGGAGGCGGACATGCGACCTTGTGAAACTACTATTGTACGTACTATGGATAGGGAAGAGAAAGAGCCACGGACAGTTGACGAAGATATTCTGCACCGTGTGTGTGTGTGTGTGTGTGTGCGTGTGTGAGAGAGAGAGAGAGAGACACAGCGCGATCTGAAAAGGTACTACTACTCTCTAAAAAAAAAAAAAAAAAAACAAACCTTCACGCTTGGAAGCTAATCGAGACTCTATACATAACTGAGTGTTTTACTATTGAATTAAAATATTACGATGATACCTATTAATGTAAATGGTTTTTCATTATTGTATTATTATTATATTATAGATGTTATACTTAATAATATATTTACAAATAATTAAGACGGATTTGTGGGTTTATCCTTCTTCGAATTATTGCTTCCCACATGTTTCCCTTTTCTCGGATGATCGAATTATCGAACTGTCAACAAAAGTCTTGATAAAAAATGCCATTCCGGCGAACTGTGTTTCGTCAAACCTTTCTACATTTTTATATATCTTATATATTTATTTTTTAATATATTAATAAATTAATAAATATTCTATTTATATTCATATTATTAAAATAAATAAACAGAACTCTGAATATGCAAACAAATAAATAAGCATAACTCTAAATATGTTTATTAAAATAAATAAACATAACTCTAAATATATTTATAATAAATAAACATAATTCTAAACATGAAAAAATTTAGAGTTAATTTTTACACAGTTTATGTTTATGCATATTTAGAGTTAATTTTCACACATGAAAAATTAATTTCAATTGAGAAAGTCTCTACGATTTATAAGTTATTCATTTTTTTTTTTTTTGCTTCTATGAATTAACAAATTAATTTTTCTTCAACTTTGCAACCACTTGTTTATTAAAACTCCCAGACTGTCCGGGCTAATCCCGGACATTTGATAACTCCATCGATATATTGTATAAAATATAAATTTGTGTTTTAAGGTCAAAGAAAAGAAAAGACGGGAATTCGGACAATAAATATGTTTTTATTACACATATATCTCGTACGACGATTACACGATATTAATACATTCATTTAACTGTCCAGCAATCAAACGGGTATTTTTATTTTTGTTTTCTCTTTTCATTATCTTCTTCATCATTATCATCATCATCATCATCATCATCATCATCATCATCATCATCATCATCATTATCATCATTATCATCATCATTATCATTCTATCGTTACTAAATATTATTACACATCTTACTAAATCATGTCACGATTTATCACACTTGTAAACCGTCGTCAGTGTTTCTGCGTTTATCTTCTGTGCATTTTCTTTTACCCTATCTAGAAATTTTGGCTATTTGGTTATGAACGCATGACGGATTGTTCGAGTCAAGCTTTGTTCGTTCCTGCGGCACGACGTTCAAAAGTATGACAAATCGCGGTGGTTCAATGAGATTTGTATGACAAATCGTACTTTGTGGCATGGGTTGTTTTTATTTTTATTATTATTATTATTTTTTTTTGTTGTTTTAGTTTTGTACCTGCGCACACATAAACTCGCGAGATCCATCGAGACGAGCGACAAGACAGGAAAAGAACGAGATTGCACTTCCGCTCAACGGATGCCGCTCGTCCACGTCAAGATACAATCCAAAGACGCACTCGCGCGTATAGTATATATATAGTTTTAAGATCGCCGTTTCTAAATCGAATGTTTTTTACTGTGTTTTTTTTTTTGTTTTATCTTTCACCTCGGCGTCAGCGCAGAGATGTGGTCATCGTTTCTCGACAACACTTCTCTTCGCGTTCTTGATTTCTTCTTGTTGTTTCTTTGTGCACAAACGACGTCGCCTCGACGGCCGAAGCGAACGCGATCTCGGAAAAAACCGTTGATTGGCGCAGCGAGTGTGTGTTATCGTTAACAATTAATTAGTAAATCAGTATCTTTCTTATCGCACTTACTCTCAGTATTTATTACTGTTAATGTTACGATTATTATCATTAATTATTATTATTAATATTATCATTATTTTTTTTTTATAACCTCGTTGCTTACGCCCTAAAAATTTCGTTAACTCTCTTTTTTCTTTGACTTAACAATGTGTAGTCGCGAAACTCTCGCTCTCTCATAAAACTCTCGGAGTTTTTCTTATACGCTAAGCTTGGTGGCCAGCACCAGAAACATTCACTAGATTCACTGTCTACAACACACATAGAGATTTTGCTTTCTCCGTTATTATTATTATTATTATTAATTTTTTTTTTTAAGTTTTTTTTTCTATCTTGTTATGCGATTAGGTAATTTTCTCTTAATGTGATTAAGAAACGTAATGATTACGTGAGCCCGAGCTATACTCCCGCCGCTTTTACACGCACGTCAGACTTGCACACACGCCGTTAGTTTTCGCGATTATCTTTTACTCTCTTCGCTTAAGCAGTCGATGGCAAGCTTACGCGACTTAGGTAGATATAACGTTAATTGTTTTTTTTTTTTTTTTTTGGTTTTTTCTTGTTTTTTACATATTTTAGGCTGATCTTTTTGCTACATTCGCCCGTCGTTCGCTAAAAAAAAAAGGCGTGTCTCCGTTTCCCTGATACCATCGCCATTCCACCAATACGACAACCTCGCGAAAATGAAAACCATCTTCACTGCTGCGTTCGAAAAAAAAACGAAAAAGATAACAGTGCGGTAAGTCGGCGATTTGTACGTTTTGTGTTTAAAAACAAAAAAAAAGCGTATAACGGTGTGAACGTTCGACGTTCGACGTGAAAAAAAAAAAACTTCGAACTAGTTTCGCGCCCGGAACGTCGAACTTTCGAAGATTTGAGCGATTGACGGACACAAGACGAGAGAATGTCACAGTTTCTCTTCCGTTTTTCTGCGCGAAAGTCAGGGAACGATTTCGGAGAAAAAACGAATCTGTCGTCTTCGTTGAAATATATTTGGTACTCGCCGTCAGAAGACGTATTGGTGAAGAGACGGCACGCTCGGCGTACATACAATCGACTTAACGACAATCACTTATAATTACTCTTTGGTTAAAAACATTTATCTCGATATATGTATTCTCGCTCGCATTGCAGTTGTACGTATTGCGGGTTACGTGTGTGTATGTTTGCGTGTGCGTGTGTGTGTGTGTGTGTTGTGTATCTCCTCTCTTTCTATATGTGTGTGTGTGTGTGTGTGTGTGAAATACTATATATTATATATCGCAAGAAGAAAGCGTTTCGGCTCTGGTAATTAATTTTAATACACACTTAAAAGGCCAGCTCTCGACGTAGTTGTATATTAAAATTAATTGTCCCCTTATCTCTCGATGCCTCTTCCCCTCCCCTTTTTTCCCCCCACCCCTACCCCCGGTCCAGGTATTTTGCTGCTCGGTGCTCTCCTTTCGATATTACGCGCGATCTGGGAGAATAGGAGAAATGAGCGCGTTCGCTCCCTCACTCCCTCCTGCCAAATCATACAAGATGGCAAGTAATACTTCTAAACGTGTGTTTTGCACTAGCGTCTTCTTTTACAGACACGCGGCGGCTACTTCTGGATTTTTTATTTATTTTTTTTTTTATTTTTTTCTCGCGTTTTTTTCGATTACGAACTTTTTCTCTACATCTACAAAGCGAACATGATAAAATCTTACGATTAAAGACAGGTATCTTTCTCTCTACCGATAAGTAGATAGGTTGACTATCGAATAACCCCGCCGAAGAACCAAAAGGATGAGCATCTAACTGTAACTGAGTATCTTTCTGCGTGTTTGTTTGTTTGTTTTTTACATCTTCTTTCCTCGCTGCTCTCTTTTTTTTCTAATTTTTATCACATATCGCGTTTATCGTCGAAGAAACGCATTTGTTTGTTGTCCGAATGGTCGCGAATTGAAATGTTGAATTATCGAAATACTGACGGACGTTTTCATATATACTGTATCGCAAAAACGGAACGTCGCGAGAACGCGACGAGAGTTTGTTTCCGTTGTTGAACGCGTGAATTTCGTTTCGTTTTACGAGAGCAAATTAACAAGTTTGCTTCAATTTTTATTTTCGCAAATAAATTTCAGACGATAATCAAAAAATCTAAAAAGTTCTTTCCGTGAGTAATTTTAATAATCGCGCGATATAATCGAAAAACGTTCGAGAATGAAGTCAGAAATGTCCATTTGCCCCCGAAAGTGTCGCTAACAAGCTTCGGCTATAAAATCCCATTGTACATCATACACTGTTGATATGTTGTTGAAGATCCTGCGTGTGTTTCTGGAAGATAGGTTCCCTCCAGCCTTCGACGGCGACACACTTCCGTCATACGCGTTTTATAAGAAGAGGACGACGACGACGATCGGCACACGAACACCAACGTCTCATCAATCCTCTCCCCCCGATGTGTGTGCGTGCGCGCGCGAGCGCGCGTGTGTATGTTGTGTGAGAAAAAGAAACATCTTGCCACCCACTCGATATCGCAAACATGCGGCTGCCGCTTTCACTTGCGCAGGTACTTTGTGAAGAGATTCGTCCCTCTCGGTTGACAGAAATTCAATGAGGCGTGGAGACAAAACTTTTTGAGGCGACGCGACGACGGCGATAACGACGATGACAAACGAAAACTTCACCGCCTTGTTTCTTTTTTTTTTTTTTTTTTTTTTTTTTTTTTTTTGTTTTTTTTTTTTTTGTTTGGTTTTTCGCCACTCGTTTCGGTCCAGCCGAAGCGGGGCGACGACTCCTCGTGACGCGATTCTCTTCGTGTCCCGTCGTGGTTCCCGTCGTCGTCGCGACGATTAACCTCTCATTTCTTGATCGAGAGGCTCTCTCGTGTCTTCATTTCAACCGCCTCCTCTCGCGACCCGGCCAGCGCGAAATAGGTCGATACAAAGAGACCAGTGGCTAGGCGCGGCTAAGTGCGAATGTCACTGACGCACGCGCCACCAGCTCTGCTGTACTTTCTCATGGAGCTTCCTGCAAACACCGGCGAGCCTCCGTCACATCCCAGCCTCTGTCGCGTTCTCCTCCGTATCACCGCCCGCGTCCTCGCTGGTGAGCGTTCTCGCGGATTCGCTACCGCCGCCGCCATCGTCACAACCGCTCTCAACCGTTTCGCCGGTCTCATCGCCTTCCTCTAACGTCACCTGAAAGTGTATCCTATCTTGCTGTTGATTCTCGTTCGTCTTCTGCTCTTGCTCGTCCGACGGCGGCGAAGGCGGTATCATCGACTGATACCAGTCACGATTCTCCTCGAGCGTGTCAAGGATCTCTTGCGCGTCCGGGTGCACCAAGTCGGCCCAGGTCTCCCAGAGCGGGTGGACGATGTAATCGATAAAACCGACCTGCGACTTCTCGATGGTCGCGCTGTGACGGTCGCACATCGGGCTGATATCCATGTTCTGTTCCCGCTCGCGGTCGCCTTGCAAAAAGAATTCTTCCATCAACAGACTCACCCATCGTCGGTAGAGCGGCAACGGTTTCGTCGGATTCGACAGATCGGCGCAGTGCACCAGATTCTCCAACACTTGAATGCGATCGGTGTAATTATCCAGCAACAACACACCGGACCCGGCGACCTTCTTCGTCTCCACCATAGTTTTCAGGTCGGCCAACAGCGACATGTGCTTCGACATGTCCGTCGAGAGCACCATATCGATTACCATCTTCCGCAGGGTCTGTCGCTGTTTCTTTATCATGTTCACGAATATATCGCAGCCTTCGTTTTGAAGTAGCTTGAACGCGACCGCCAGATGATGGTTCTCGAGCACCGACTCGTCGTTGTACATCAGCGCGAGTTCGGAGCCTGGACAAGGGAGAGAAACGGATCATTAGTTTCTATAGTCCCGTTATTAAAATTGTTTTATTTTCGTTAAATAATCTAATCGCAACAATTTGTATAGAATGAAAATATTGTGCGGCAATAACAACTCACTCGAATTAATGAGGAACTGATTCGTGAGTCCCGGATGGTCTACATCGTGGATGGAAGCTGCGAATAACGCGGCGGTGATCTCCAGAGGTGTAAACACGGACTGCAAACACGACAAAGAAAAATTTATACACTGTGTAATGCCAAATAAATAAATTATTAGTTTTAAACAAAAAAGTTTTATTATTTGTTTGGTACGTTTTTATCTATATATAAATAAGATTTGTATCGCTGTCCGGATCTATCGTGATACCAGGTATGTGTATTTGAAAAAAAAAAAAATAACGAATATCTCATCAACGAAAAGAATTTATTTTTAGACAGCGTGTTATTATACATCGAAGCGAAAACAAGCTACTATTAGTTTTCATACTCGAACAAATACCGTATAAGGGAAAGTGGTCTCCTCTTATAGACACCAACCTCGAGTGCAGGCGTGTTGAGCAGAGTGTGGGTGGATTGGGTCACATCGGCTGCGTGGAGGCTGTTGTGGAAGGGATTGTCCTTTACGTAATGATCCTCTAGGGTCATCATAAAGGTAACGAAGGTCTTGGGCGGTATCGCCAGCGTTTTGAGCAGATCCCGACTCTGAAAGGCCGTGTACGCTACGCAGGTGAGGGGTCGATTGTTGCTAAGCTCGCCTATCCTGAAGATGTCAATGCCCCACTTGTCGATATCCGAAAGCAACTGCAAAAAAACAAACGAGTACAAGATTATAAAACCAATTTTACAACGTGATTTTTTTTTACGACGTTGCGCGCGCGTCGGAGAGCGTTTGTATATGCAAGATAATAATTTTAATTTAAAATGTTTCGCTTCGTAAAAAAGTTGATAAGTTGCGAACTTTTTATTCAATTCTTCTATCGCGGTGTAACACGCGTCATTTCGCGCCAAAGAAAAGGAAAACCAAGTGAAAAACAACTGACTTAACATACAGATTATAGAGTTCAATGTTATCGATCAAAGGTTGTACGCGGAGAGTCTGATTTATTCGCGAGCGACGACGTCGGGATTATTCATGAATTCGATAAAAACAAAGTTAAACGGCCAATTTGAAAAATATGAGAGAGAGAGAGAAAGAGACAGAGCTGTTTGTAAGTACAAATACAATATAACAACTGGACCATGCGCGCCGAAACTAAGACGATCCAGTTCAACTTGTCTCTTGACAGAATCTCGTTCGAGAACAAATACGTGGGGGAAGCGCTCGATTCGAGCACCAAATAGAGCATTCACGGCGCATTGTAACCGGCTGCATTGCAACATGCTGAATCATAGTTGCGTGGGCAATAAAAAAAAAAAATGGGTCTCGAAGTCGCGGAAGGTCTGCAAGGATCGCACACGGATCGCCATCTAAGGACACGTCGTCTGCTCGGCGATATTGGTATCGCAATATCGTCAGCAATTTCTTACGCGCCGGCTGATCTCATTAATATGCGAAATAGCGAAGCTCGATACACACGCTCTCTCTCTCTCTTGTTCTTTTTCATTAAGAAACTCGATCGCGATTTCCATAATAAAACGCTGATCTATTATTCCTCAGAGAGACGAAAGGGGCAAAATAAAAATTAAAACTTCTTCCACACAGAATTTCGTCGTCTTTTTGTGTCCGCCACAAGATGCGGGAGACCCGCCAATGCAAGTTATTCGAGTTAAGTTGTTGTAAAGCGCGACCTCGATCCTCGAAAAATCTTTTCCAGTTAACCAGTTAAAACTCATTTCCATCGAGAAATATGAATTTTTATTTGTTTACGCGCCCGAGCGCGTCTCGGCTCATTAAAATTCATTACAGCTTATGCTAAGCAATTCCGCGCGACTGTGTGTTGACATCCTCGATATTAAAAACGACTGTTTCCGGCTCGGTCTCCAGACGACTCGCGAAGAGAACGTTACTTCTGAGACTTTTTTTTTTTTATACAATAAACTCGGAATATTCTCGAATCTCATCTTATAAGCGCGCGCGCGCTTACGTAAAAGCATACGAGAATGAAATAACACGAGATACTCTCTGCATAATGCGATTAGTGAAAACGTACGACGCGATTAAAGCTGCCACCGTCTTCGTGATGTTACGCACGTAGGTACGCGTGTACCGGAAGCGCGCCGACGAAAGTTAGCCGAGTATCCGCCGAGCAGCCTCGGCGCAATCGATACAGCAGCCTCGGCACGATCAAACGAAGTATAGCGCGCTCGAACTTCGCGCGAGCGAGACACGTTAATTGCCCGGGGTACCCGCGCGCGAGAGAGTATATAATCCTCTCTCTAATCCGCGACAAAATCGCGCCGTTGATCCACATCCTCAATCTTTCTCTCGCGCGTCCCGGTTTAATTTCGCGCGCGTTTTCCGAAAAATTCTGAAGCATCGCGAAAAATCGGCCGCGACCGCGACGCGTCATATCGGGAGCCGCGCGAATTGAAACTTTCCGACAAATTTTGCGAGAGCCGCGCGAGATATAAAAGATATATTGCGTTCGTACAGAAAGGACGTGGATGAAAGCCAGAAACATTCCCCGGCGGAATTTTCGAGCGCGATGCGATTTTGCGTCAACATCATCGGATCAAAGAACGAAAGAGAAAAACAATAAACGGGATTTTTCAAAAGCGGAAAAAATAGCGCGAGTTCGGTATTCGACATCGCGATAAACTCGCCAAATCGGAACGTTCGTGGAAAAACTATAAGCGCGAAGATCTTTATATTTAATGAATTTTTTTTTCCGTGAAAAGAATCCAGAGAGATGATATCACGAGCTACGTGTGTGTATGTGTGTCGTGCGTGTTTGCATAAAAGAATATAGCATAGAAATAGAGAAAGTTATTTTTCTTTATCAAAAGCTACTAATAATAAAATAATAAAAATTAATAAAAATAAATATAGTGTATTTGCAAAATTATATTTTTTTAAATAATAAAAAACTTATATTTTTTTGTGAGAAATAACTCGGTTTTGTATTTTTTCTCGCAAATAAATTTAATAAACATTACTTTTCCACATTATATTTTTAACACAATGGCGAACACTTTATTATAATATCTAAGAAATTATCGAAACTTTTTTTAATATTATAAATTTATTTACGATGTGTACATAGACATTTTGTGACTGACTGCGTATACTGACGTTGTATCTTGAAATCGTAAAAAACCTAAGAAAAATAATTACCGTTATCGAAAATTTAAATACTCACAATCTCAACACGATTGATTATTATCACTGCGCGATATTTCCGACTGCTATTGATTTACGATCTCTAACACGATTATCGCGCGCAAGAAACTCAACGCGTGCAACTCATCTTCTCTTATTGTTAAAAATGTTACGCAGCAACAAAACAAAACAAAACAAAAAAAAAAAAAAACAGCTTTCTCTCTTGCAACCAAATAAAACGATTTGAATTGTCGGAACTCGTGCGTCGAGTGAAATAATCGTTTGAAAAACAAAGCGATTATTTCAAACAAACGGTGTGTAATCATACGTGTCCGAAATATATTGAGTTATAAACTTGCACATTAATAAATATAAATATAAACTCGTCGTATTCATCAAAAGGTCTCAGAGCTTCGCGCGGATTACACGTGTCTCTCTCTCTCTCTTGTTATATGTTGCGATTAACGACCGTGCAGTCGAATAAATCTCAATTCCGTCGAAGCCGATAATCAGTTTAGTATTGGCACGTGGGTGGATATAATGTCCTAGTAATTTCCGTTAAAGCTACGTCGTTAGCCGACGATAATTAACCAAAGATCATGCGTGAGCGCGAGATAATTTACACACACACACACACATACGCGCGCGCGTGTCCGTACGCAACGCAATATACGTTTTATTTTATATACGGATTGTTTAATTAAATATAAAGTTTTTTGTGCGTGACGCGAAAAAAGTTTTATTTTCTCTCTTTGCGTAGACACGAACGTACGTACCGTTCTTTCCTCTCAGAACATTCGCACAAACGATTTTTTTTATAATACCGGATATATTTGAAACAAGAGTCTCGAAAAATATCGCAACGGATAATGTTAGGGTAATTTGTGATATTTGTTTTGCGCTGTGTGTGTACTTTTGCGCAGCCGTTTAATATCGCTTTTTATTCTCTTTTAATTCTCGGTACCGTTTATACCGTCTCGAGTTCCAATCTGTGATTTACGATTCGAACGAACTCGCGGCTGATCTGAATTGGCAAACAATAATTTATCCGACGTTCTCTTTTTCCGTCATCGTATGGACGGATGTCGCGACGGCGTCGAAAAAAAAAAAAAAAAAAAAAAAAAAAAAACGCTAAAGGTCAAAGTTGTTAACTCACCTTGCCGAGTTCTTCTTCGTGCGGCGTTTCCACCCCGTGGAGCGGCACACGTTCTCCGGTGAAGCTGTTGGTGTGTGTCAACGGCCGTTTCACGCCGCTGATGTGTGACATAGCGGCCGGTCCTCTTTGTGCGCGATCCTTCTTCTTCGCCGCCCGCGCGTCCACACTACCCGTTGCAGCGACCGCATCCTCGATCCGCAAGGACGGCAAATCCAGCTCCTGCTGCTTGTCTGCGAGAAACAAAAAACAAGAACGTGGGCGTGAGCCGGATGAGGGTAATCGGAGATTGACATTAACCGGTCAGATGTGGTGAACCACGATATCATGAGGGAGAACGTGTCAAAGTGTGTCAAAGTCTACACTTTATTTTTTCTTTTTTTTTTTAGACGCGTTATTACACACGTGCATTATTTAACCGCATTACGCTCTTGTATTATTTAATCGCCGTAAGAAACACATCTTCTCCTGCGCTTCCCTTATGTGGGATTTTTTAAATTCGCCGCCGAGTGTATAAAATTCAACGCCGAAACGTCCTTTTCCTCATTTCGCTCAGCTGCGCATTCGTGTACGTACTTGCTCGTTTTAATAAATAGTTTTCTCATTTTTTTGTCGACTTTCTCTCTAGGTTTTAATTTTTTACTTTTTTTTTAAATTTCAAGTAAGACATTCTAAACAACCTCTGCTAGAGTTATATTCCCGTCTCTATTGGGTCTCTATATAACTTTTGTTATTTCTGTTATTTTTGTTTCACTTGCTTATGTTCTTTTAACGAAGATATTATTATTATTAGTGATAAATAGAGATTACTCTCAGGCTCTATAAGTCTTTTAAACTAATAATATATGAATATAAGGACACATGAAGAGCCGTTCGCAGGATGTTGTGCGTGAATGTGCTTAAATATATATAAAATAAAATAAATTGTTTAAATATATATACATATATGTATACACATATATACTTCGAAATAATTTTATTATTATTATTATTATTATTATTATCTTATTATTATTGTTATTATTGTTGTTGTTGTTGTTATTATTGTTACTATTATTATTATTATTATCTTTACAAAAATTATTATTACTATCTTTACGGAGCTTGAACGGAAAAATAATTGACAAATAAATATCGCTTGTCAATATCATTTGTAACACAAAAAATACACCACGATTTTGTCACTGCAGTTGTTTACTGCGGGACGCGATTGTTGTTATCACGACCATGTTACGTTCGCGTCTCTCCCAATTGTGGATTATCTCGTTTGTTTGTCACATGGTGTTTGGTAATCAGATCAATTGATAGATTCGCGTCGGGCGACAGATGGGCCCCGATAACGTGGCCCCGTAACGTGACCGTGTCTCATTACGGGAATTATTTGACTGACGCGAGTGAGATAACGCGCGCGCGCGCGTGTGTGTCATTGTCGGTCACGCGAAGGTGCGTCTTTTTCCCGACTTCTTGTTTCGTTGGGAATTTTGGAGAAACTTTCGCTCGCACGCAAGCCGATAATCGAGCGAAAAAAAAAATCGTTAGAGAAGCTACGCTATCAAAAGCTCGTAAACACGACATCGCCCGAAGAAGTTAGGAGATTACGTTAAAGGTTAACCGGATGGATTTTTATGCGACGTCTCGCCTCTCTCTCTCTCTCTCTCTCTCTCTCTCTCTCTCTCTCTCTCTCTCTCTCTTTCTCTCGAGCACAAAGAAATCGATCGCGATTCTTTACCGATGATAAACCTTGCGCGAGATCACTGTGTTTCGTACGTTCAAACAAAGCAAGCAAGTTTAACCGAAGCGAATGGTCGCGAATGAGGACCCCGGTTATGGTCTCTCAAGGGCTTTTAGTGCGTAAAAGCGCTCGTTTTATTGCACCCGTAAACTCGCTTCTGAAGATGACCTCGTTAGAAGCGGTATCGGATAATTCCTTTTCGCTTGTTTTCTCCGTCGTTCCCTCGTACATACTTCTTAGTCCCTCGTTTTTTTTTTATTTTTTATTTTTTTATTTTGAGAACGTACGTCACTTTCTATCTCCCCCCGGACTTGTGAACTCGAACTTGCAACTTAGTTGTATCGCGTTGTATATAGATATATATATATATTTTTTTTTTTATTTACGTTGCAACGAGAAAAACTAAGCGCGTGCGCGCGCGTCAATGTTTATAGACTTACCGAGGAAGGTGCTGCAGATGTATTCGGAAATCTGGTTGCCAGACTTTGACGACTCCGAGAAATGCGACAGCTCTTTGTTCAGCATTCTCTTGAACTGCAATCAGAAAGAAACAAAAGCGGATCGTTAAGAGAGCGATCAATTTATACATAATACAATCGAGGGGATGCGATATTGTTTTTTTTTTTTTTTTTTATTCCCGCGTTTCATCTCGAATCGAATAATTGCATCGTGGCAGGGTTGTGATAAGTCCCATTGAAAAAAAGTTCAATAAAATCGTATCGCGTTCTCTCGACCTATATATACATTTTCATATATTGTTTAAAGAAGAGAGAAAATTTATGTGAAAGAGATTTTGCGCAATATCTAGAAAAAGTGGGGAGAAACGTGCGCGCCAAGTCAGCTTACCCGCGGCCTCGAGCGATATCTCTGCACCACGTTTCGTTTCTGTCAAACTACAGTGTCGCAGATGCATAATGAAGAGAGCCGCGCTAGTTTCGAGGATTTGCGATTTTCTCGCGGACGAACAAGACGGGGAGAAGCGGAAGATATATCGATGTTCGATATATAGACGTGATGAAGGAAACGAGAGAAGGAACATCGCGCGCGCACTCCGAGAGAGAGGGGTCAGACAATTTCATCTCCTGTCTCTCTCTCTCGAGGAATTTTCTCGCCCCGCTCTCCCTCTCTCTTTCTCTCTCGGCGCGATTTTCGCCGACCTTTATCTCGTCGCAAATATTTACGGCATTTGTGCTATTCGCGATGTGTGTCTTCGCACATTTATTAACAGCCACGCGCGCATTTTTTTTCTTTCTTTCTTTTGCGCGCGCGCGCGCGCGCTCTGCGGGACCCGCACGAAACACGTGCCTAACTCCCGAAACCAAACAGAGGCAAATAACGTTCGCCCGTCCGTCTCTTATCGCTCTTATCGCTGTGTACATCATCTTTGCACGGGCGTGTCGGGGACGCGCGTACGCTCACTGGGTGAGTAGATAAACGCGAGTACGCGTATGTGGGAGAAAATTAAATCTCGTTCTCCCGTTGCGAACGCGAAAAAAACTAAAATTGATTTTACTAATTGCCAAGTTTCGTATTTAAAACAAAAGTATTTTTCTCGCGTCTCCGATCAAACGCGTCGACTGACATTTGATCGGACTTTTTTTTTTTTTTTTTTTGAGAACGAAGTGCGCGCGCGCTTTATATTTATCGGAACGATAATTAATTCGCTGCAATTACAGCGCGCCTGCTGTAATCTGCTCGTTACATCTCTCGCCAGACGACAAATAACAATCGGTAAAGAAATATACTGTAAGTGTTTTCGATTATACACCGTCGTACAAATAAAACGTATAATTTGTCCGGCAATTATTGCGCTTGTTTATCTCGTTGACTCTCTCAATGTTCTCTCTGTCCCCGCAATTTAGTCTTTAAAAAATTCTCAGATTACTACGCGTAAAAAGACAAAAAAAAAAAAAAAAAACAAACAGGAGAAAAATCGCGATAACCTTGCGAGAGAGACAGAGAGAGAGAGAAAGAGAGAAACATAAAAGAGGCGTGTCGAATTGATTCAAAAGTCCTTCTACTTCCAATTTCGCTGTAATATCGCACAATTTTCTAGATGTCATCTGCGATGCCACTTTCACGTCAACGTTCGCTGCGTTATATTCCACCTCTTAAATTCGTTCTGTTTTACGATGCTTTTGTTTTTTTTTTTTTGTTTTTTTTTCGTGAAAACGGTCCTGTCAAATTATTTTCAAACGAGCGAATTTTGTCTCGACGCTGTAAAAAAAAAACAAAAAACACCAGACACACCTTCCGGTATACTACTGGTCCGGTAATTCATAGAAAGAGCCGCTCGCTGTGGGTGAATTATTAGTGTGACGTTTATCACAGCGTGTCTCATTTAATTCAGCGTGAGACGCATTTTCTCCGCACGTCGCGCTTTAGTGCCATAAAGATAAAAAGGATTTCGAAAGGCGGCAACAAAGTAGGTCGATGGAGAAAACTAAGTAAAACGCGACACGCGCGCTCTCGGCTGACGTACGTGCGCGAATGATAAATTAGCGCACTTCGAGCTCGGTTTACGCGCGCTTTAATGCAACTTCATTCAGGCGCGAGATTTTCCAAGCGCGACGCGAATCCGGGTGAAAATCCGGAGATCTAATTTAACAGCGAGCCGCCGCGCGCGCGCGCGGTTTTAATATCGCGAAATTCTAACAACCTCGCGCGAAATCGCTCCGGCGTATAAGTCACGTTCGGGGACGTTTCGCGAACGCGAGCGACAAAACCGTCGTAATAAATATTCAAAAACGCTGTTGTTTCGAATTAAACATTTGATATAACGTCCTAACGTTTATACAAGAGACAATCTTTCGTAAGATAAAATTTTATATAAAATTTGTTAACAACAGTAATATATAAAAATTTGAAGAAATATTTCAAGAAACATCTTTTTTTGACCTTGAAACTGTCCACAAAACGATAAATCGTAAATAGATAAGTAACGAGTTTTTATTTGCCCGTCAACTTTTATCAAACGGTGTCATTGTTTACATTTTTGAGAACGGAATGTTTCGCGGGTTATTATCGAAAATGATGTAATTAAAACGTATCACATATCGATGCGACGTATTCATGTAAATTGCGATGATTCATTTTAATCACTTAAATCTTATTAGATCAGATAAACGCGCGAAGATGACGAGATAAGAGATTTAATCGGTTACTCGCTTTTGTGTTCCGCGAGATAGGATTATTTGGCAACACAAGAGAGGATCAATAAGAACGCGCAATTTTTTTTTTTTTTTTTTTTTTTGTCGATCTTAACGGTGAAGACGATGATGAATTAGTAACCAGATTATAAAAAATGTAATCCAACATCGCGCCTATGTACGTTTATTTACGACTCGTCGTTTTTCCATAATTATCATCAATGAACTTTTATTTAAATGTCGCAAAAGGTCGAGATCGCGCGGTCGTTCGGCGCTTTTCGCATTCGTCTTTCTTGACGCATGTGCGGGTCTCTTCCTCGGCGATCATTATTCTCACTATAATTAATCGCGTCGCGATGAGCATGATTCACGTTTTCTTCACTGTTTTTCGTCGAATTCGCGTGCAAGTGTAACACCCGTGCAAGTAGACATTTTAAAATGGATTACTAATCATTAGTCATCGAGGGAAATGTGTCACACACGTTTCGGTGACACCGTTCTTCTTCCCGGTAATCGGCAAACACAGCTGTGCTTCCTGCATACAATGTTCTCTCGAAAAACGTAAAACGCGCGTGAGAGAAATAAAAAAAACATCATCTTGTGACAATTGTGACCAGACAACACAAAAGTTTGAAATAAAAATGATGGACTTTCCGGCCGGTGTGAAGTGTTAATGCAATATACCGACGCGAATGCGCGTTTGACTGCGTCGACTGTTTGAAGTTGCCGTGTCTGGGTATTTGCAAGTATAAAACGCAGACGAGCGGAATAATGAATCGCGGAAAAGCGTGTTTTTCGATGCGCCGACGAGACATCGTATGTTTTGCGCGTCCGACGACACCGTCGTCGCGTGTGTAAAAATCGCGTCCGCGCGCTGTGCACGGTCTCTTCTCGTAATGACAGCGAGCAGCGTGAGTCGACGAGTATATATAATATATAACGCGAAGAGGTTCGGTCCGATATCTTCTCTCTGACCTCTCTTCGACCAGTTTCGACGATAGTACAATCTCTCTGCTCGTCGCTCATTTACCAGATAATCACAGGCGCGCGCGCGCGCGCGCACTTGTGTCAGTCGCCATCTTCTCCGAATTCGTTTTAGTTTTGCGTGTGTCGGAGAAATAGTCATTCAGAAAATGGCGCAATCGCGTCGCGTTGTTTGCAACGACATTGTCCCGATAGCGTGCAATTAAACAAAGTTTGACGACGGTTCTTGTAAAAGAGACAATCCCCGATCGATCAAGACGGTCTTCGCCCGAGAGAGAGATACTCTCCTCTTCTTCTTCTTCTTCTTCGTCGTGACGATGTAAACCGAGGAGAGATAAGCGCCGTGCGCGCTTTCCTCGATCGATTTCCGAGTTTAATCACTTGTTAACCATTCGATTTGCTTATCGGAAACGGGTTGGCGACGGGGGGAAAAAGATTCCCGTCGCCCGTTCTCCATTGACGATACGATCGGCGGCGTTTAAAGAGTTTCTGGCGGAAAGTCTATCTTCGAAGAAAGATTTCTCTATCAAGATTATAACGAGATAGGATTATATATCGAGATATATATATATATATACGTATATCGACAGGTTCGACAGCAACAAGACAGACGCACGTGAGGCTACCGATAACACGGATCTATAATTGGACGAATATACCTGCCTATCACTCGCCATCGTGCATCGTTCTTCGCGCTCGTCGATCACTCGATAATTTAGAATTTAGGTCACCGCAGAAGCTGCGCTTGTCAAACGGCATCATCCTACAACACGATTTCGCTACCTATTCGTCACAACCTTCTGGTTCAGTCATCGGGTCATTGCGACATCGTTTGGAACGCGCGCGCGACCTCCCACGGGGTCGATCGATTGTTTCTTTCGAAATCCCGTGACCATTTTCTATTCGGCGCGGCAGATGGTCGTTCGGTGAGAATCGCTGATAAAAAAAACAATCGGATATATCATAATTATACATTGACATATTGCGTTATTCCTTTCCGGAAGGAAAATGCTAAGTCATGACGAGTTTCGATTGTGACCCGACGCGCGTCCCGACGATTTCGATATAAATGAATCATTTAGTCTCAACTTAATCTCGGCTTAAGATCGAGAAATTTAACAAACGTTTAAATTAAATTGTATTCAACATGTAACACGCGAGTGTGATTGATTGTGTTTAAGAGTTCCAGCGAGATCGACGCGCGAACGTTGTAAACAATAAATTATTGACAATTTTTGGTACTCGTTGAAAGTTGAACCAATATACAGGGTGTTTCAGAACTATGGGATCAAACTTCTAGGGGTTATTCAGTGCAACAGTAGAAAACATTTGAGTATAGGGACCCATGTCCGGAAAAGTGTCACTACCGCACTACGGCCCTAAGACGCGTTAAAATTTAGAAAGACGATGAATTGCCTAAATAGGATT